AACGTAACTGAATCTTGGTGGTAGGCGGGGGTCCTGGGACTGAGTTCTAATGAACTTTGACGGACTAAGTCATCCCTTCGAAATCGGAACAGTCCGGAGTTGGACATGGGTTAGTCGATCCTTGCAGCATAGGGAAGTTCCGTTTTCAATCCAAGAATTTCAAAATCCGCGCCGAATGTGCCAAGACTATCCGTATTAATCATTCCGGGTCCTAGAATTCTCAGAACAAAAACTGAACGACGTCCTATTCTATTATTCCATCGGCTAATGTATTCGGCAAAGGGAACACTCTAATTCTCTTTCTTCAGTGAAAGTCCTGGGCTTCATCCGCCCACAGCCAGTGAAGGAGCTAACGGTTCTATGGCCTATTCTAGAAGGCGGGGGTCCAGTCCAAGCCGGGCTTGGGCCCCCCAGCACGCTACGGCCAGCCAGACCCGGGTTCAAACGAGCTTTTTAACTGCAACAACTTTAATATACGCTATTGGAAGGTGACTGAATTACCATCGCAATGCTGCGTTTTCACGACTTGATCCTTGACGCCAATTGTTCCTCGTTAAGGGATTTAAATTGTCTCATTCCAATTACGAGACCAAAAGAGCCCCGGTAAACCTCTCAGTATTTATTGTCAAATGGATCCCTATCGGGATTGGGGAATTTGCGCGCCTGCTGCCTTCGCCCTTGGATGTCCCTTTCTCAGGCTCCCTCTCCGGAATCGACCAATTCCCAAGGTTACCCGAACGGTAGGCCACTATCCTACCATCGAAAGCGGGGGCAGAAATTTGAATGAACCATCGCCGGCGCAAGGCCATGACGATTCGTTAAGTTATTATGATTCACCAAGGATTGAAGGGCGTTGGTTTTTTATCTAATAAATACACCCCTTCGTGAGTCGGGGTTTTTAATGTATTAGCTCGGGGAGAATTCCTCAGGTATCCATGTCAGTGAAGGTACTATCAAATAAACGATAACGCCTTTAATGACTCTCTTCGCGTTTCACAGTACAAGTTGCTTATATTAGACATGCATGGCATTAATCCGGGGATGAAGACATTGTCAAGTCCATATGACTACTGGCAGAATCAACCAGGTATTAACGGGCCGGGTGCCCGAATCAGGTCCGCCAAGGCGGTCGGTCCCGGGCACCTGAACGTCCGAAGAAATAGGTGCGTTATACAAGGCGCCAGGAACGTGAGACGTTCAACCGCAGCGGCACCCCTGGGACACTTTGATTTAATTGCCCCCACTAAGCCCTACAGCACCGCCACGAACTGTCAACTAGAGCCCTTGCGGGCGCTGGCTGAATATAGGCGACGGTAGGTCCAGACCCCGTGGACTTCCGACGAACGGCGGATTCCGCCGGCTCCCAGGAATTCTGAGTTTCAGGTGTGGTCAGCGACCAGTGTCCACAGACTCCAGCAGTGGCGGGGACGTAAGCAGAATTCGGCACCGCGTCGGGGCAGCCACCGGGGTCCAACGTAGAGGTTGGGGGGCCCGGGGAAGCCCGATGCCCTCCCAGCGGTGATGGGTGCGCCGAACGCAACAACCTTCACCACCAAGAAAGACCAACCTGGTATGGAAGATAGGAGAAAGGATTTCTCCCGTCTCTACACATACTCACCGACCCCATTTGGGATAAAAATCCATGAACAGTGTGCCTTTTGGATCCTTTTATTACTAGGACATAGTCCGTGCCACCGTTTTTTCCCATACAGCTGGGCCACTTTTCCAAAACTTTTTGTGTTTTTCTGCGGACTTAGTCGTTTTCAGACGTAAATTCACGTGACTTCGGCATTTAGGATCACCCGCACGTCGCCCCGATGGGCTCAACACCTCATGGCGCCTAACGTTCTGGCCTTCGGCAATGTCAACTGGCCGTTCAATTGACAGGGGCAGACCCCTGTCGTGCGTGAGCCCCGACCACCCAGGATTACCGTCTGTGAGACGAGGTCTTCGGAAAGAAGCCCCAAAGGAACGACGGTGCACATTATATATCCAGTCGACCGTGGTCACCAGCAAGCACCCCCATGACTAATGTGAATCTCGATATATATCCATGCACCCGGACTGGCAAAGGTTTGCGTCCCTCGTCATCAAACCTCGCCCCAGCACCTAACGCCTCCCCATGCCTCCCCCCCAACGCCCCCAAGCATCAATTACCACCCCCCATCTTCCCCAAGCTTTCAAGACCTCCTCCCATGTCGCCCCGCCAACTGGCCAGTTTATAAGTCGCGTGATGCCCCCCCTGAGGTACTGCAAGACCACCCCCCTATGCTCCCCCGGTACCCCCCCCAATACCCCCCCGTCCCGGGGCGGTCACGTGTACCCTCAAGTCGCCATTGCGACTTCGCCGCGCGCGCTGCGCGTCTCAAAGCTCCGCTCCCCCGTGCCGTGCACCCTTCCCCTCCCCTCATCCCTGGTGCGCTCTCTCCACCTGGCCATTTGGCCAAGTCCTCCGCTCCCGCCAACTGGCGACCTCCCCCGGTGACTACGCCCGGCCCCT